TTTTATGATTATGTTGTCTGAGAGAAAACAAAGTGATAATAAACTAATAGTTTCTTGCACCCTTAACTATACAAAATCATTAAACGATAAAGCAAAAAAAATTTTGCAAGGATGAAAACTAGTTGCTTATCGTGTAGTATGATCGTGTAATTATTGATGACTTAATTAATAGAACGTACAAGTAACATTTTACTTATCACTGTTAATGTCAATAAAAGTCGTCTGTATAATTTATATGGCCTAACTCCTATTTAATCAGTCTTTTCGTCGTGTGGAATCAATAACAGTGGTGTACAATGGAAAAGTTATCGAAATAATTTAACTAAGTAAATATAATTTTAAATAATAAACATTCTTGTCTATCTATATAGATTACAAGCCCATGGAAAAAAAAACCTGTGAAATAGTCCAACGTGAATAACGTTTAGAAGGTTGTTACTATATCAGAAAATGCCTCTGAGCACTATGCCGTCATTTCTGAGCGGTACATACGGTAATAACTCGGTAAATCCTAAAATTTAGATAATTATTTACACAAATATTAACAATAATTTTTGGACGGCATAATTATTAAACATTATTGTCCGTGTTAAATAATATTTTGGACAAAATGCCGTCCATTTTACAATGACCTTATATTATGATATAAGGTGTAGGGAAAAGGTTGCGACTCTTGGTTTTCCACTCCTGCGCTGGAAATACATATGTACGGCGTTCATGGGTAAAGTATCTGTGTATGAATTTAAAAGGTATTACACAAATGCCGTACAGTAATAAATGACCTATATTGCTTCTTCAATAATCGTCGAATTACAAATTTGCACTGACTTCCGGCACCACCACTTTAGTACGGCACTAGGTTTTTCGACATTTATTTTTAATCATCTATAAACTAATAAGAAAGCCGTTAAACATTAATAATTAGTCGAATTCCTCACTCGAACCTGGGAAATTTCTTTTACTTACGTACTCACCTGTACCGCTCAGAATTATGGCATAGTGCTCAGTTATTTTCTGATATAGTAACAACCTTCTAAACGTTATTCACGTTGGGTCATTTCATAGGTTTTTTTTTCAATGGGCTTGTAGTCTAATACTGAATACAAGTTGTTGTTCTGTATTACTAAATGACAAAAAGAATTAAAACTGAAAAAAAAATATTTTATAGCAAAATGTCTCGAAATTGTATGAATAATTCCGACAATTTTATCATTTCTGTTGCAATTCGTATGCTACTTATACATGAAATTCCTTTTTTATCGTATGTATATATCTAATACTTATGCAATAATCTGATAGCACATTATATGCCAAAACATAAATTCGTCGTCACGCCGTCAGTCGAAACTCTTACAACCGAATGCATCAAATCTAATTTTGATAGTTTACAGTTACCCTAACTGATAATTTAACCGATAATCAAATAACGCATTTATTTTTATATGAATCATCGAAAAGTTAAAGATAATAGGGTAGCTAGGATGAAGAACGTACAAACGAATGATTGATCGAATGAATTACAATTTTACTACGGCAACACTGATGATGAAATCGAAAAAAAAAAGTCGAGTTTCCCTGTAATTTTATAGTAGATACAAGTCTCTAAATCACCCATATATCTTGACAATAATGTCAAAAATACTACTATTGATCACCTTCTGAAAATGCCTAGACCCGAGTGTAATCCCTTTTATTTCACCATGGTTACAGAGTGTGATGTTAAGAAATAACTCCTCAATATTTCTTCCAAAGCTTCGAGTACTGACGGTGTGAGCATTCTAATGATACGACCCATTGTTGATGAGCTATTGTCAATAATTACTCATATTAATAATTTTTCTTTAGACATATGCTCTTTTCCCAAACTATGGAAGAAAGCACACATTATTCCTGTCACTAAAACATCCAATCCCACATCTATTTCTGACCTGAGACCTATCTCTATACTTCCCACCTTATCTAAAGTATTGGAGCACATTGTGCACAAGCAACTATCCATTTATTTGTCTAGCCATAACTTGCTGAGTCCTTATTAATCTGGTTTCCGTCCTGGTCACAGCACAGTTAGTGCACTTGTCAAAGTAACTGATGATATACGCTGGGCTATGGACAACCACTCCCTGATACTCCTTGTTCTATTGGACTTCAGCAGTGCCTTTAATTCTGTTGACTATGATATTCTTTTAAGTATCCTTTCATCTCTTAACATATCTCCACCTGTAATCAATTGGTTAAATTCATATCTTCAAGGCCGATTGCAATGCGTACGCTATACTCAGATTGGTGTGAGGTTGCATCTGGAGTCCCACAAGGCGGCGTTCTCTCCCCGCTTCTTTTCTCAGTATTTATTAATGCTATTACTCAAGTAATTTCTTCTCCCTACCATCTCTATGCAGACGATTTGCAACTATACCAACACTTTGAAGTCTGTGACATCTCTGAGGCTATTGATCATATAAACCATGATTTAAATAAAATATCCCATTGGGCAAAATCCTACGGACTTCTAGTCAACCCCCGTAAATCTCAGGCATTAATAATAGGTGGGCATCGGAGATATAGTGCACTTGATATTGATGTTTTACCTCTTTTTCTATTTTCTATGAGCAATCTCCGATTCCGTATGCTAGAAGTGCCAAAAATCTTGGAATCATGTTCGACAGCAACTTATCCTGGGGTGAGCATATCAATGGAGTGAGTAGGTGACTATACTTTTCTTTTCACTCGCTCAAACGTTTTCAGAAATTTTTGCCCATTGAAACGAAAATCACACTCGCTCAAGCTTTATTACTACCTCTTCTGGATTATGCTGACGTATTTTATCTGGATGTCACAGAGGAACAATTAAATAAGTTGGAACGGCTACAGAATTTATGCATACGTTTTATTTATGGACTTAGAAAATACGATCGTGTCTCCTCTTACAGAAGCATATTAAAATGGCTCCCGATTCGTCAACGTCGTGATTTTCATCTTTTATCTTTCCTGTATTCTGTACTGCTTAATTCTTCCTCCCCATCTTATCTTTGTGAACGTTTCACTTTCCTTGACCCCACTGGCATGTCCAGTAGGTCGAGTAAGTCCCTTATTCTTAAAATCCCTCCTCATACCTCCTCATGCTATAGTGGATCATTTACGGTTCATGCGGCTAGACTATGGAACTCTCTTCCACTGCATATTCGTGAAAGTCAATCGCTGAATATATTCAAGAGCAGATTAAAAGAGCATCTTCTGTCCTCATAAACTTATTATGTCTATGCATGTATATGTACCTATTTGTATGTAAAAAGATATTTTATGTCTATGTATATATGTATATGTATTATCGTATACAGATATGTATTTATTTTGATTTTAATTGTATGAGTTACTTATATATGTCAACATATTTTATATTTTTTAATAGAAACATCTATGTTTCCGTCTATTATTGTACGCATACTGCCCGCTAATAATTAATGCTCCTTTCCACTCAGGGATTGCTGGAAGAGAACTCTTACTACAGAGTTAAGCTCGCCTGTTGTACATCTTTATTTTATATATATATTATATGTTGTAATTTTTTCTGTGTACAATAAAGAATAAATAAATAAATAAAAATTCTTTCGGTACTAGTTTATAATAAAAAATCATTCATAGTATCATATCGAAAAGTTGTTGACATAGATAGATATTTTCATGCTAAGTCACCGCGGCGTAATCACGATTTCTTAAAATTTCTAAAATAACCACGGAATATATTTACAATTCTTTTTATGCTTTTCTTTTTCTTTCTTTCTTAGGACACAGGTTCAGATCAAGTAATTTCAGTATAAAGAAGCAAAACTTGTTAATAAATCACAAAATACAAAAGATATAATTGTTAACGCCACGAAAAATTTGCTCACTCTATTACTCATAATAACAATTACCTACAGGTAACAGGTACTTTTTTCTCCAATAAAAATTGCAAAAAATTATGTTTATGTTTTATAACATAATGTAACACTAGCCAAAATTATAGCATTCTGTTAAAGTAAATGTTAACTATCAAAATTAAAATTTGTAGCATCATAATTTTAATTTGAACTACTAATTTAGCTGATTTAAGTTAATAAATTTTGATGCAAACGGTTGTTAGACTTTAAATCCGTCGTCTTTAAACATAGATATCTCAGGTCTATAAACAGTTGCTGTTTCTTAATATTAATTAACTGTAATGTAAAATTCATCATTTCACAAACCTGTAAGATAGTAAACAAAAATGTATTTAGTTTATTATTAGTTTGTTATTTTGTAATCAATTCTATATATAGAACAGAATAAAAATAATCTTTATTGAAATTGATTTGTTATATTAAATCGTAATTTTTTTACGATTCTACAAGTGGGTTCGAAATTTTCTCTGCTTAGAAGAACCCCCAAAACAATTACTTTATAAATATGACGGATAAGCCAGCCATTATTGCGGTCAACAATATTTTTAAGAGCTCAACGACCCGGCCCCCACGCCGCCACTAGTCTGAACTTTATAATGAGCATGAGTTCCTTCAAATTACTGAACTACATAATATTGACAAGTTATATGCCGGAATCTTATCTCTTAGCTTATAATGCCCGGAACTATTTAAGGACAATACAATCCGAAATTACGTCTTAAAGTATATAATTGATCAATATGAAAAACAATTTTGCAATACGTAATTATAACAACATACAGTCGTTGATAATTCTGGTCTAGATACCTATATGGGACTTTTCAAAAAGACCTTAAGAATCTTTCTATACTACAAAATATCGGATCTAACATACATGCTGTAGTGCATGATATACTTTATATTGAAATATCAACATTGTAATAAGTAGAAACAATAACATATTAGATACATAATACTGGATACATTAAAAAAAATATATCTTCGTCTTTAGATCGCAGTCATATAGAACATTTTTCTTGCAATATGCAGTGTTACTTTTAAAATTATTAGAATTCGCACAGCACCCGACTTTTGTCTACATACCTCATGTAAATGATTGGTAAACTCCACACTTTTTCACCAAGACTGTCTGTTATGATGATACGTCATATTTTGTGATGTTGAAGCTAAGCCCGCAGAGGTGCTAGGCACGGCCAACTGAGCCGTCGGTTCACTGAAAGACGGTGTTGAATTTTCTCCCCATGAGTTAAATGTAGGAAAACTTGGATCTAAAACACAAAAAACGTCGTGTTACTAACCTGTTATATTTTTAAGTTGTGTTTTGTTACCTGTTAATTGTTCTAACTTGAAATATAGGACAGTTTTTATTCCAAGCACAATAAGTAGACAATAGTGACGATAGAAAAAGGGCTTGCAAGATCTGCTAATTGTATGGTAATTATTGAGGGGCTGTCAAATTATTTTTACATAGTTGATATGGGAATTGTTTTCGACCAATTTGGGTTGACAGGTTCAAAAATTATGTGTACTCTCGTATTTGTCACATTTAATATAATGTTTCACTTACTGATGGGTGGCATGAAGTTGAACTGTGGCGCCCAGCCTGGATGCAGAACAGGCGGTGGAGCCTGAGTGAGGGCGGCAATGTGCGGCGGAGCTTGAGTGAGAGTGGCGGGGGGCGGAGGAGCTGGAACGAGGGGGGCGGGGGGCGGAGGAGCCTGAACGAGGGCGGCGGCGGGCGGTGGAGCGCCGACAGAGGGCGTAGAGGGCGTCGCCTGAGCCAACGCTGAGGGTGTCGCCTGAGCCAAGGCTGAGGGCGACGCCTGAGCCAAGGCTGAGAGCCGTGCTTGCGTGAGCGATGTCACAAATGACGTAGACGGACCCGGCACGCTTTCCACTCGACTGGGCTCCGCAAGCCCACTCTTGGGCGGCGGAAAATTGAACTCGCTTTCCTTCGGCCGCCATGATTCAAGAAACAGTTTCAGTTTGCTCTCATCGTCCATTGTGAGCGAACTTGGCTGGGACCGTTTTTTTAAAATGTTTACCTGTTAAAATACATATTAATAATAAACTAGGTATAAATGACACGGATTTTTTTTTTATTCAATGTATGGATACTTAATTAATGTATTATATATATAATTAAATACTTAATGTATGGATTTACTTACCAATATATCGGCAGTAGAAATAGAACTTGAGGAAGAAGTCGGCAATTCTTCCTGAAAAATTACATTTTTAATTTCATTATAATTTTACTAGTACTCATAAATTATAAATGCAGTACCTATTTATTATTTATACCTCAATTTCTGGCTCCAGCTCTGGATTCAGGTTTAAAGTGTTGTAGGATTTCAAAAAATTTGTTAGCACCTCTAACTCCTTCTTGTATTTTTTTATAACAAGCGCCTTTGATTTTTCTTCAGTCACCAATTTCTGGATTTCCTCGTCTAACATGGAGCTTCTGATAAAAAAAAATATCCATGGGTAATGGAAGAATTGACACTCATAATATTTAAATAACTGTTAGATCGATATCTCAGGGTAACAAACCAAAATTTTCGTAGAATTCTTATTATATTATAATTATGAAAGTGAGTTTGTTTGTTAGTTACCTTATAGCGCCTTAACAGCTTAATCAAATACTATGAAATTTGGTATACACGTACTATTCAGGATGAGGAACGATGTACTATTCTTTATGCCGATCATGTGGAAAAGTGACGGATAAATAGTATTAAACCTACCATTAATATTGAGTAATACTATAAAAATACGACCAAAACATTTTCTTTTCAATAAATCTACGCGAATCATTACTAATCATTATTAGCAAAATACCTTAAGGACACCCCTGTGGATAATATAATTAACAACTGCAATATTTATTACATAGATATCACAGTTGTTAATTATTAAATCGATATTGCTCATACTCATGAATAAGTGCTTGGGAGACTGCCATTTCTATATTCTTCTATTCTAATAAACTTATATTACGTTTATAATAACACAAGTGACAAATATGCATTCGACTGTCTGATGGCAAAAAAATTACCGTAAAATCGAACGTCTGCAGCAATAAGAGGGATGCGTTGCGAACCCTATAAGTGGAATTTGTTATAATATACAGGATATAAGGGACAGATTAGCAAAAACTGAATCAGTAAATTCAGTCCATTATTCTAAACTAAAATTCAGTGGAAATTCTTTGCGAAAAGTATATTTTTTTTAAATCATGTTATCTATTATATTTGCTATAATACAAATGAAATACCAAAAAACAGCAATGTATGTATTAATATCCAACCGCGACGTGCGGAATTAGCTGTGTAAGGTCAACGCCACAAGAACCTACCTACCACAAGTACCTACGAAAAAGTGTCATTAACAGTGTGCATTGTAGGTATATCGTGTCGTGTAGATCATAAAATTTCAAATACATTGCGCGACGTCAAAACTCAGAATCGTTATCTATACGACTGTAATGCATTTTCGACGAGAAAATAATCTGCCAGTCGATTCGGACCATTCATTTGAATCAGCTGTTTTCGTTTTGGTCAACCTTTCCCTTCCACCCTGTATGTTATTATAAAAAAGTGCACTAAATAATCTTAATTGTTAGTAAATACATACCTCAAATTGATTCAAAAACGGCACTTAATTAGAATATGCGAAACTAAATTTACTATACGAAAGGAATTTATAACTTGCGGACAGGCCAACATACAGCCTAAACCAAACCATTGGTCGAAAAAACTGTAATGGATAAAATTTTGTGAATGAATTCTATAAATACTGATAATTTTAAAATAAAAAAAGGTTTTGAGCTTCTGTAATTAAGAGAGTTGAATTAGAAATAAAAATGTTGAATTGGAAATAAGGCGATAGAAGAAAAAAGATTGAATAAATATTACAAATAAATATAAAAAAAAAGGAACTCTCATGGTAACGAGAAATAACGATTTGTACGATGACTGAGTCGCGCTGTCTTCGCTCCAATAAATTACTGTTTCACGTGATATATTAATATAACAAAAAAAAATTGTTTCTGGTGGATATTTAAAATATCCGATCGTTGATTCGTTTCGCACAGCATAAGAATGGGAAACAAAATAGCTGCTAAGCAGTGAAAATACAGTAGCGCTCAAAATTATTTTGACAAACATATGTTTTACATTTATTAAGAGCAAACAAAAAACACAAAAATTTGTCAGTCCCATTTTTGATAGATATTTAACGTTTTACAGTATAGTGATGCCCTTAGTCCGCAATATAATAAAGTTGAAATTTAAAAAAATAAAAAGAATGGAGAATTAGGAGTACATAATTAGGTAATTGAAAAAAAAAAAAGATTGAATTACCGCTAATAGTTATAAGCAATTCAATATTTAGTAACATATCCCAAAGCCTTTATAACAGCTTCACACTGCGCCGGCATCGAGTCAACCAACTTCTCTAATCGGTTCAATGGAATTTTCTCTCACTTATTTTTTTAAAGCTTCATATAAAGCGACCTTATTTGAATAATTTCTATTCTTATTCTCCTTAGCGTATGGCAGCATTTGAGTTTTCAATTTATTTTGGTATACAAACCGGTCCATATTTTCTTCAATCCGCACTAAAAGTCCAACTCCAGAGCGTGAAAAAAACTTCAAAACCATCACACCACTACCTCTGTAATTGACAGTAAGTACTTGATGACGAAAATAATATTTTTTTTATTTTGAGGTTACCGAATGTATTTAACACCATCACTTGACACTAGACTTACTTTCGTCAATCCACAAACACTTTAAACAATTCTAAACTTGACCACGATTTATATTGTTTTGCGAATACAACCCAAGACGTTTTTTTTTTAGATATTAATGGTGTTTTCGTCGGCCTTTGACCATGCACATCGCGTCGTTTGATAGTAGAAACATGAATGTCTATATTGTATTTTTCATTTCATTCATTTCTTATCATCACAGCTGAATTTCGACAATTACTAGTTCATAATTTTTTTAATTATCTACTCTAGGAGATGCTTTTCTTGGACTGCCATTTCAACACTTGTTTTCGATCATCTTTCGTTTATTTTACGCTTTATTCCATATATGAATTGTCGAGACGCTTTAAAAATGCGAACAACTTCTGCTTTAATCCTTGTTTTAATTAGAATTCCTTAGATTGTGACATATTGAAACAACTACTACTACTAAATATAAGCGAAAATAAAAACTCAGAATCTATTTTCCACGAATTTTCGAAGCTAATTGCTCGACTTTAGTATTCCGACTACTAATTATTCGACTGAACAAACCATTGGGATTATTCGAATGATTTTTAAATCGTTCAACTACTAATTTTATTCATCCGACTACTAACGTCAATCGATTACTAATGTCGTGCGAGTACTAATAAAATTCGACTACTAATTTCATTCATTAGTAGTCGTTGATGTACGAGTCGTGCGAACATAGACAAGTCAACCCGATCGTTGGATGTCTTTTTTTGTAATGGACAAAAATGTTGCCATGGGGTTTTGTTTTCTGTCATTATGAAATGGACTTAGTAGTTGCAGATACAAGAAGACTTTTCTATAATTAGTTACTAATTAGTAAAATCATTCGAATACGGAAATTAGTATGTTGCTAATTTGGTAGTCGAATTATAAAATAAGTAATTATGATTTTATTCGCATAACAATCATTCGAAGTTGCACATCGAAATACTTTTGATCTCAGAATTATTTTCTTTCTTTCCATAGTGCGTAATGTAAACAAATAAGGAGAAACCTGTCGCGTTCAAATTATTGCAATTAGACTCTCTCTCTTCAGTCGTACGCTCTTGGCAGAGTGGTCGTGGTTTTCACAATGACGGTGGATCGTTGGTGAGGCTCTCCTTCGCGATTGAGGTCCTCGCAATATGTCTCCATTTACTTCTGTTCGCCGCAGTTAGACTACTCCCCACAATAATCAAAGTTGTTTTTGTTGTAGTTTTAATTTAAAGGAAATGATATAAAATTCCAATTTGTCAAAATATTTTTCAGCGCTACTGTATATATTAATGGTTAATTAAATAAATATATTCGCTTATAATTTTTTTTATACCACAAATTATTTTTTTGCATATGCAAGTAAATAACTAATAAATCGCAAGTCGACTATTGTTTTCCCGACGCTGACAATAAAAATAAACATTCAACTATACCTGTCACCGGCATGTATATTTATATTGTAACAGAACAAACTGCTTGATAGCTAACCTTGCATCCCACTGGACACAAGCTGTACAAGGAGGCGCAGCAGTGACGGTGTCAGTTTTTCTCGTTTTAGATGGTCCAGCTGAGAACAAATTCATATATCCTAGCAAAACATAACATTAGCAATAATAAACACATAAACAATTCCCGTGTCATCTGTTGCTTATTATAGAATATGAAATATTTTCTTAGCTAAAATATTTACAAATACAAAAATCAACGAATATGTAAACATAATATTTAATTATGTAAACGTTATATATTCTTTAGTCCCTTATTCATAAAAAGTAAAACTTACAAATCTACTTTTAAATATTACATTGTTGTCCTTTGGCTACAAATTGGAAATTTAACTCAAATGAAAAGAACAAAACGTTTCATAACTAAAATAGGTTTACGAGAGTTTTGATGTTTTTATGAATAAGGGGGTAAGACTTTACAAAGAAATAATACCAAACTATTCTTAAGGTTCTTATGCAAATTTATACTCTAATTTTTTTGTCCATATATGCCACTTTATTTTAATGTTATCACTTCGCACTGCACTTTGAAAAATAGAAGAAAGCTGGTTTTTTACATTATCCTGTAATTCTAATCAATATTACAATTAATGTAATATTGGCTACAAAAACATAGTATTATTTTTTCGTAAACCTAACAGTTTTCAATAAAATTTTATTTAACGAAATAGAAAAAGTAGCTAACTTTTGGTTCACATTATTTTTTTAGTCTGACTTCAATCATCTTACTTAGACATATGTGCACAGCTAATAATAAATGATTTGGTTAAAAACAAGACTTATGTGCTGTGTGAGTATACCAAAACTAACAAAGAATATGTCATATATTTATTTTGGTTGCCATTATTTACACTCATTTTATAAATTATATCTCTTTACTTAATATAAAAAAGCGACCGTAGGTACGTTTACGTATTTCAAATTATGCAACTGATTTCAATGCGATTTTACCGTCTCCAGGGATTCCGCCATGATTACTATATCATCGGTATATCAAAGGTAAGTGATGTATTCACCATTGATGTCTATACCATATCCTGGATAGATATCGTAGCCTTACTGTACATACACTTCAACATTTCCATATACCTGTAGTCAATCTGGCACCGCTGTAGCACTTCCCATGTCTCGAAGGCTGTCTCATAGTTCACAAACACCAAATATAGTGACAGATTATACTTTTCGGTCTTCTGTAATCAGAATCTGCCATAGCGTATGTGATATATGTTGCTAAAGTCCCTGCGGAAGCCAGCTTGTTCGGGTGAAAGTCGGTTGAAAATCCTCGAGTTTCCGCTTAAGACGATTGTTTCGGGCTCTCAAAAACAGTACGTAAATGCGATTCAGAAGGTATATCGGTCTGTAGTTCTATAGGATATTGCCACCCTTGAAAAACAGGACCACCGCACTTCTACTCCAGGCCTGGGTCGTAACACCGTTTCACCGGTATTGTTTTCCACCCGCTGTCAAAAACTCTATTATAATTCCCCGTTGCCTTGTCGTTCTTAGACTGTTTGAGAGTCATTTCAATCTCCTGCAAATTGATACATCATCGGTATGGTGTCGGGAACTTTAGCCCTTTGGTCGTTATTCACATTCGTATGCGGTACTAACGACGTTATGTAAAGCTGTCCATAGAACTTCTCATTCTCACTCAAAATCGTAGATATGGCGGAAATTATATCACCAGTATCGGTCTTTAACTTTGTTAGTTCGCTTCGCTCAATAGCTATATCTCTAGGGAACCTTTTTGGTTTTTTACTCCGCTCTATTGCCTGTTCAATACATATAGTATTGAACTTGCGTATGTCGCGACATATACATTTGGAGATTTGCCTATTAAGCTGCCTATATTCTGACGTAGACGATGAAGACTGGGACTAGGTTGGGGTTTGAAAAATTTAGTTCCTACTGCTTGGACAGTTTGCACTAGCTTATCGTTGATATCCTCCGCTGTTTCACAGTTCATCAGGCACTAATAAAGATTTGACAATTCGAATTCAAAACTCTTGGGATTTTCGGGCCGCAAATTAGACGTCTAAATATATTATAATTGTGAAAGTGAGTTTGTTAGTCGCCTCTTAGCGCCTTAACCAATCACTATGAAATACATACCAGTATATGGGGATAGAGAAGGACGTAGACTAACTTTTATCCCAAAAAAAGTCGCGGGTAAAAACTATTAAATAAGCAATGTTTTATCATGTTGAAATAGAGAAAAAGAGATTCATAAGTAGCAACTTTGCATAAACAAACGTTTTTGAAAATGACACCACCAAATGAGTCGAAAATAATAGCAATATCGAAAAAATTAAAAATAAGATTAATAAATGGCGACCTTGTATAAACCTCATTTCATTTTTAACACACACGCACACAGTTGTTACTTATCATTGGGATTGTTTTCAAACCACAAAATATTTATGCAAAAATCCAGCTCTTCTCTAATTTTTCTGAAGTTTTTATTTATCTTCATCTTTGTAAAAAACTATTAATAGTACTCGAATTTTATGGTTATTGTAAGTTATTGTAATGTTTAATAATCATTTTTATCAATTATTATTTTTTTTATTTTTTTTTTTTCACGGTGGAAAGTAGACAGTGTATCTAATTTTTATTTATTTAAGCCTTTAATTACTAATAGTACAATTCCACATAAATAATACATTCCACAACCAATAACAAATAGGGTTTATTGTGCATAAATTATTATGTAAGTTGCAACTATCTATGCTTTTATTATCATATTATTTTCTATCAGTTTGTTTTGTGAAATAGTAATAATAGACCTCCAACGATTTCCAGATTTCTATCTTGCGTGGTTTGATGCCACTTTAATCCTGCCACTTCCTTCAGGTAATTTTTCTACCTAGTTTTTTTTTTTCTTTTTTCTTTTACTATTGCGTGGACACCATTTGGTTACTTGTTTAATCCATTTCTTGTTTTTGTTCCTCATTACTTGCCTAGTCGAACACCATTTTTTCTGTCTTGTACATTCTGTTCTGTTCATTTTTTTTTCTTACGTTTTCTCTCTTTTTTTATATACATATAACATTCCTTTCCAAAATCAGAGGTATGCCAACATGAAATATATTGGGATACCTCTAGTCTTTTTTTCATTTTAGTGATTGACTAGATTTGACATCCATGTCATACAAGGTAGAATAAAAGTATAATACATAAATGAGCATTTCCTTATTTTTCATTGTCTCTTTGAGTTTTAAATGGCAATTCTTTGATCAATTTCTTTAGACATTTAGTTATTTGATGAGATTATTTGACTAAGGTAAGTATACTCGTCTAAATACTGTATATCTTTATCATTAATATTTATCAATGTCTGAATTCCGATTGTCATACATAACCTTGGTTTTCTCAATGTTCATAGTAAAACCTATAACAACACTTTCATCTGCTACTTATTAAAACAAAATTTCTTGAATATCTGAGCTTTCCGCTAGTAATATTACATTGACAGCAATTCTGAAGTGATTGAATTTTTTAACATTGATATTTAAGCCATATTCTTCCCAAACCAGATTTTAAAAGACGTGTTCTAACGTAGCTAAGAATAATTTAGACAAAAGAGGGTCACCCTGTCTTACCCCCTTCCTTATTGGGAATTCAGTTCCCTCTTTCTCCGGTTTTATTCTTGCTAAGCTGTTACGGTATACTCCCTTAATTATTCTAATATATTTATTGTGAACACCTTATTGTTCAAGAGTATTCCAGAGATGGCGGTGTTTAATTGAATCAAATGCTTTATTATAATCCCAAATAGTATTGTTTTGTGTATTCATTATACTATTCTATCACCTGTTTGATTGTATGGATATGATCTATTGTAAAGTAGTTCCTTCTGAATCCTGCGTGTTCAAAGGATTGAGATTCATCAACCTTTGCCAAATTGTTCATTGAGATATCGAAACGATTATGCTGCTTTTCATCCTTTCTCGAAGTGATAAAGCATAATATAGCGAATATGAAAGGTTTTCGACACGCATTTCTCTGATACAGTAGAGAAGATTATTTTTATAGAAAAATAAACAAAACGCTACTTTTCACTGATGAAAAACGCGCCGATATAAACGCCGGATAATTATGTATCAATCTAATATTTACGGTATCTTTTAATATTGCATATCCTATCTAGACTTTTTTTGTGTCGAGATTACTTATTTAAATAGAAAGTATAGAAGGCACACCTTCATCTTCTGTTTGTTCATCCTGATATCCAAGTAAACAATTTGGATCATCTCTTACAGTATCACTACACAACTATGATACTTGGTGGCTATCTATAAAATTGACTGTCTTTTTACTGTTGGTGTATCTATTTAATTTTTGATACTCGTGTTCTATTTACCATTTTTTCTTAATTTCTTTTCAACGCATTTTACGCCTCCAGTTTTTTTTAATATGAGCTAATATAATATTGGTTTTATATTTCTTACTATATTTTATTGTCTGTGTGTTAATTTCTTTGTTGATGTTTGTTATTTCTTTACTATTCACTTATTTATTGTTCAGTAAGTCTTTCTGGTATTTATTAATTTCCTAGCATTTTCACCAATTTTATCCATCTGTTTTGATTTGACACGAAACTCTTTGTATATAAGCTGACATTCATTTACTAATATATTTATCTTGTATGGACTATAGGTTTGATTATTCAGTTAATCATTTTAAATCTTCTTCATGTTCCTGTTGGTCCACTACTGGATTTTTTATATAACTTCTTAGGTTCATTACATCGGATAATTCCTCTTAATGGTCTGTGGTCTGTATTAAAATAAAAGATATTTATTACATCAACATTGTGAATAAATTTGATTTGTTAGTGAGCATGAAGTCAGTTATAGCATTATAAATATTTCCATTCATTATGATTTCATTTTCTCCCTTTACAATTTTCATCTTTTGGTCAAAATCTTGCATGACATTTTCTGTTAATATTTTGTTACAATCAATGTTTGTATATTTAAATTTTCTTCCAATTTCTCAAGTAATAAATTCATATTTTTATCCATAATAATGAGGGATTAGATTTAAAAATGGCAAATTATAGTACTTGCTGTATTGTAATAGTAAAGTGACACTTTTAATGAAGTAATACACTACACTGCAATTTGAATGTGTTTACGGTGCAATTACCAGATATGAAACTCCTACCGAATATTATCTAATGTACCTATTATTATTCTCAAATCAGAAATAATAATTATATGTAACGCAACACCAACATCCACTTTCGTACATATTTAAATATATAATATATAATCATAGTATTTTTTTTTATAAATAGAGGTACAATAATATTTTAAGAAGGGGTGGGGTGGGGTCTTGGACAATGAAAATCAATTATTTTTTTTTATTTTTAAAAATTAATTTACATCATTACAAGAATATTGTATCCGTATTTCAAGTAAACCTAAGCCAAACTAACAAAGATATGGCATTATAACTGTACGCGCCTCTAATTGTACTCAAAGAATGAAAACCAACTACATGGTTCTGACGCACAGCAGGATTAAAAAACGTATTTTTCTGTTCCTTAAAACATTTATGCAAGTAGATAAAAGTTGATACTTACATCTTTTTACATTGTTTTAGCATTACTACTATACCTTATAAACATTAAAATGATTTTGTACTATAAAAAAATATATACTAGATTTTATACTATAAAAAAATAAAACAACATTTTTAAAGCTGATGCATTCTGTAACTCAAAATCTATATAGTAGACATAGATTATTCTGAAACTCGGCACATCCTTTTTATGGACAATTTGCAAGGTATCAACACCGAGTTTTTTTTTATTGTTATTATTATTATTTGACAACAGCAAATAGCTAACTTTTATTTAAAAAAAAAACATCAGTTATACTCACTTTAGAGTATTACTAAAAATTAAGAAACTAAAAGAATATAAAAAATAGAACTCGCTAAGAAAAAAATCTTGTTTTTTTTTCACTAACTTTATTCCAGGCTCCTGCAAAGCTTTACTGCCATCAGCTTAATTCTCTATATTTTTCAATGAAAATTTAACACAATATTCTTCAGCAATTACTTTATTAACAATCAGCATATTTTCTAAAAAAAAAATTTTAAAATATTGATTTCCAAGACCCCTAACTTAAAGCAATTTTTGTTCTAATAATAAAGAAAATATTGTAACTAAAACAAAATTTAAGATAAAATTTTAGGAAGATTTTGCATACTACTAGGAAATAAACAATTTTTAAATATATTAAATATCATTGAAAATATTAAAGGTCTTAAAAATGTTATACAGTTAAATTACATGACCGAATAAAAAAGAAATTACATGTATTAGTATAAAAAGTAAAATCAATTTATTTTAAAGTTGCTTATTTCACTAGTATGAGTATATTTATTCCAAAAATACAAGTGGTTTATTCAAAAATTACTTACAAATCAGTTATCGCAAGGCTATATTTATTATGATGATAATGATATTTATAGATATGCAGTTACTATAGAAAATGAATATTATTACATAAGCAAATGACAATATATAAATATTTGCAAAAATACATAATATTTTCACTGTATTATATTAGATACATAATTTACCTTCTGGTTCTGATGCACTCCTTTTTACACCATTAGGCACCTTGATGAAACCCGGCAAGGGAGGTGGAGGTTTGCTCGTATCTACTCTATATTTAATTATAATTTCAATTATTAGTATCAAGTATATTACATATATACAGTACCGGTCAAAAGTTTTCGATCACTAGTAACATTTTTGAATAATCGCAATTTTGTAAATGAAGTCACTATTATTATTTATTACTATAATAGTAGTTATTCCAGTGTTCAAACATGAAAAACAAATATAAATTTTAAATTGAACGTAATTACGATATCACACTACTTTTCCAATTCCAATTCTTCAAAATATCCTCCTTTGGCTACTATCACGGCACTGCAAAGTTTCGGCATTCTTTCTATCAGTTTTTTCAAAGAATCTTTTGAAATTTTACTTCAGCAGACTTGTAGGTAATCCCAAAGCTGATTCTGATTTAGTGGTTGCATTTTTCTTATGTTTCTATGTAACTCCCTCCCATCCCATGACAACTATTGGGTTTAAGTCCGGAGACTGAGCAGGCCAAATAATATTTTTAAGCTCTCCTTGCTTTTCTTTATTGGCTAGGTAATTTTTGCATAATGCAGATGAGTTATATACTGATTTGTCAAGTGCTCTCTAACCAAATGAAGAACATACTGTCTATGTTTTGAGGTGAATATTTCAAACTTTAATTCAACTGCTAAATAAAACTTTCAACCACTGATCAAATGTCAAATCTTTGTGTTTTTTAGACCACTGCAGTCTCTTTAGTTTATTTTGTTTATGCAAAAATATCTTTTTCACTGCTACGCATCCTTTGAGCCCATGTTCGTGCAGTCGTAACGTTAAGTTAGTTGTAACTTTAAGTCTCCCAGATTGGTGACGGCTATTGCAGGATCCAGTCTCTTGCTCTCTCTGCAGTATATAAACTACAATAGATTGAGATACCTTCAATTTAGATGCTATTTTTCTCCTGCTATTGCCTTCTTTGTGTAATGCTATAATAACAGCACACTCTTTGTATTTATTTCCTTCTTTTTAACCATTTTTTAAAAGTTATGTAAAAATCAATGTAAGACTGAGTTAGATATTATTTTTCACACAAAAATTAACAATAATCATTTATGTATTATGTTCAATCAACATACAGCACTAATTTATAAGTGTACAAATGTTAAACTTTCTTATCCGTACAGGAACTAGAACAATTATAGGCATAATATTGATTTTTTTTATATACAGAGACACTCTAACACAACCACAACAGTTATGTTTTAAACTGACACTAAAGCGCTCAGCGAGTCTCTGCATACCAGAGGTGGTAAATTACAAAGAAAGCATGTTTATTGGACGTTGTTGTTACTGATGTGTTCATTATTAGTAAATAAAGTTAAAATTCTATTAGGATTCTGTTAAATTTTGCACATATATTATGCAAATGTGATCGAAAACTTTTGACCTGTACTATACCTTAATAGTACACAAAAAAAAAGAAAATATATATTACGAAAGTTGAGGAGGTTGTGCTGACTGGACTAACACTGGTGGTACTGCACGTGGAGGTGGGGCTCCTGCAAAATAATATACAAAACATTTTTTTTTTAATTCTAAAATGTTTACATTTTGATCCTACACTACTTGATAAAATCAATTCACACTTACCAGTATATGTAGAGGGTGATACCTCTGACGGTGGAGGCGGTGGTGGCGGTGGTGGTATTGATGGTGGTACTGCCGAATTTATCATGGGCATAAACTGTCCATTTATTTCCATTTGTGACGGTGGTGGATGAAGTGGACGCGTATTCGTCACAGGCGCATTAGGAGGCATATAAGGAGTTGCATGTTTTTTGGCAAACATGTCTTTGGCATTATTTTTACTATACATTATCTTAGCAGCAGCGTTGATAGCCAAATGACGCTCCGCTAATACTTTGGGCATCTGGCCAGTAGTTAAAAAAATTTCTTCTTCTTTGCTAGTCGTGTGTAAGTATGTACAATTAGGTCGAGTGCACCCAGTAGGATTTTGGAAATCGTGGCAAAATTGTATTATTGTTTTCATTTCCTCCACACTACATTCATGCCTGTATTTGCATTGTGAATATTTATGACATCTACCCCAAACATAATCTCGACAAATTATATTCAAATTCAAGATTTCATTTGAATCATTTGACACATTAAGAGTCATTCTTGACGGCGGCTGTCCGCCATTTTGTGAAATATTTTGATTCATGAACTAAAAAATAAATTAACTATTATACATTGAAATAAACTTCCTTTGTAATATATGGTAACATTTTATTTTTCAATGAATTAGTACTAAAATAAAACTAATATAACAGGTATATAATTACCGTCAGTAAAGACTCGTTGGCAATCGGCACGTAAACACACAAATATAAAGTAAACAAAAACTCATAAGTAATAATTATACAGAATCCAAATTTTATATTACCGATGTACTACCACCATTCTGACCCACCACTTCTTATAATTTTAAAAATAACAAAAAGGACTGCATAAAATTTCACATTAAGATTTATCAAAACAACACCAATTACACAGTGTAAGTTTTTTTTTTTTCTTATGGCACGGCACAAAGTGCTTCCGCCAAAAACAAAGTTTGGGAAACAGCATTTTAGTAAAGGAGTTTTGGACGACGGAGATTAGAATAAGGATCAGAAAAGTTGAATAATGAATAATATACGGAAAAGAACAGATACCTAAATAGATATTACAATATATTTAACCTTAAAAATATACATATATATGTAAAGTACATAAACTAAGAAAATTTGCAACTTAATATTATTGATAACAATAAAAGAGGAAATCAAATTATATACTTCTAAATTATCAAGAAACAATAATACTGGAACTGATGTAGGAAAAGGAGGGAATTGAAAAGAACAGAATGGTCATAGAGAAGACAATTTAGGAGAATGTGATTCAAATCACCCACATCTGTGCCACAATTGTACATATTATTGTTCACAATTTTTAACTTAGCCAAATGAGAAAGGGAACTCACATGGCCAAGTCTCATCCTAATAATAAAAGACGTAGCACGTTTATTAATACGGTAAAACCATGGTTTACAGGGAATATAGGCTGAATACGAAAGTAATGGCGGGCCTTAACTTGACAGCTAATAGACCAGGACTCATTATATTATCTATTATATCTATTTAATAAACATGTCAAACAAAGGTTTGTACATGTTTATTAAATAGATTAAATCTGTTTTTTACTAACTGCACTACGGCAGTTCCACTGCAGAACTTTGGCTTGGTTGTCCGTTCTTTTTATTATTTAAAATATTAATGAATGCATTTGAAAGAGAAGCAACGTTGGACGGTGGAATGATATTAAATTGTGTTAATAAATTTAAAAGAGCTATTACTATTTCAGAAATAGATTGTTTAGATTCATCTTGTTGATTATAACCACATCCATCTGCAGGAGCAGGAGGATTGTAGTCTTTTGTTAAAGTGATATATTCATTACGATCAAACCTATAGGAAGGTTTTGGAGGACGACGAATTTTTTCTATGACGGTTTTTTTATAAGATTTATTAGAATGAGGAGAAATTACATTATGAATCCCATTCTGGTTTGAGTTTACTGTACTATTTACAATAATTGGATTAGATCTTAGAGTGTCAGCATATGATTTAATAGAAGGAGCATGCAATTTGCTTGCTTCAGCATAAGAGATACAACTTTTAGCCATTGTTTCTTTAATTGCCTTTTGCCTTGGAAATTCTGGACATTTTTTGCTGTTTGCCTGGTGAGCACTTTGGCATAAACAGCAGTAAAAATCTTCTTCATGAACAAAACAGGATTCTCCAGAGTGGCCCTGACCACACTTATAACAACGTGGAACAGATCTACATTGATTTTTATTATGGCCATACCTATAGCAATTATAACACTGAATGGTAGGGTATATGTACAAATCAACAGGCAATGAATTATAACATATGAAAACTCGCTTAAGTAACACTTGACCATCAAAAGTTATAACAACGGATTCAGTCATTACAAATTCAGATTTACCGTTAACAAGAGACTTTCTCTTTAAACGCCTAACTTTCAAAATTTTGCCACAACCTAATGGAACTGAAACATTTTCTATAATTTCCTCATCAGACCAGGCAGTTGGGATGCCCCTTATTATTCCCATCCTTGTTAATTTGAATGTTGGTATAAAGGCTTTATAATTATGAGATTTTAAATCCATACTATTTATAAAAGAATTAGCATCTGTATAATTAGAGAAAGCTAATGATAATCTATTTCGCCCTATCTTTTTCAGACTACCATCAATTACATTTTTGAAAGGATTTTTCTGAAGGAAACGTCCAAAGACTATTGGGTGAAGTGAAGAATTATCATCCGGGGATGATAAAACTTTTTGTATGTGAACGGTGAATGGAGCAGAATCATAAGGTTCATAATAAACTCTACTAATAAAGTTATGTGGATGAGATGAGTCATTCTCCTGATTATTTATTAAATTATTGTTATAAGATTGTTGCTGGTTTTCCTCGTTGAATTGAGTACACTCACATGAAAATTTATTCTTATTGTTTTCACTTCCTCGATTCCTCCTACGTTTTTTATTGCAATGCCTACAAACATTGCCGGCTACCGATTTAGTTTTCGTTTTGTTCCAGAATGATCAGAAATATTAACAGAGCAATCTGTGCCCATGGAATCCTCATTATTGCTAATAATTACATGAAGAGCGACCTCGGAGACCATGCCCCCGGGATCATCCGGGGGGTCCATGTATTAAAAATAAATATATACAAAAACTTACCTAATTTACAGCTACTATTACACAAATCTACGAAAATCAACAAATATAAATGCTATTTGCAACTTATCTGATCAATATTATAATAAAAAAATAATATTAATGCAGAAAAACTCGACCGCAAAATTTTACGTCTCCCGCCTTTTTTTCGAAATTTCCACAGTGTAAGTTATAGATTAGAGAGACTTTGTCTGACTTTTTTTTAATGAGTGATAATGGAATGGTAACCCCAGCCGCGCCATCGGTATATACCGGCGGGGCACCAGTGAAGGATGATAGGTGAGGATGAAGCAGGTCAGTTAGCCCATCATGACGAATTCAACAAGAATTGTTTACGATGGTTTCCAGGGGGAACCACGTGGAGGTCGACCTAATAGGGCAAATTGCTAACAATGGGGCTGTCAAACTCCATTGCTAATAATCTCTTTTCCCCCTTCTCTAACCTATTGTACGATCGGTTGTATTCAAATATCTATCTATTAATACTTAAAATATGGTCAGCATATATATACATATACAATATTTACTTAATCTATTATGCCACCAAAGAGTGCAGCTACAGAGACAGTTTTTTTTTTAATGGATGATAATAGAATAGTAATCCCGGCCGTGTTAACAGTATATACTGTTGGGGCACCAGTGAGGGATCATAAGTAAGAATGAAAAAAATTATGTACCTTATATACCTTTACAGCGTTTTCAAGGATTAAAACTATAACACAAAATTTCCAAAAACATTATCCACTTTTTCAAACCCATATTTCTCCAAGAATTTCATTTTACTAAAATTTTACAATAAAATTTTTTTTTCCAATATTGCAAAAAAAGTACCTAATCTGGCAACAATGCTCTTTGCTCTGTGGTTTCGTCAAATAAAATCAAAAGAACTAGACGTATTCAATCATAGATTGAGAATAGTAACTACACCTTGAATACGTTCAATCATAGTAAATTAAAAATAGATACTTGTTTAATTTTTGATCTGTGAAATTAGTATATTTTGCACGAAAATTTGTTATCGTTTTGTGTTCGTTATATTTGTTCTTGTTTGTTTTATATGAAAACAATTTTTTAAAATGTCTGAGTAAGTACTAAATTTAATTAGATGTTTATTTAAATACATTAATTAATAAAGCTTGCCGCCGTTAATTTTATTTATCTTAATTATATTTTTCAAATTTCATTGAACATAGAGGTTTGATTTTTTTAATATTATATTAAAATAAATTTCAATACTTTTCAGTACCTTGTATTAAATTAAAATTTACATTACAATGCAGTAGGTATCTAATTAAGCAGTTATTGGAATTTCTGTCATAATTAGTGAACAAGTTTGTTTTAGTACGAATTGATAGGAAATTCATACAGTTAATGTTAATAATAAATAAAAAAACTTAATAATAATTTTGTACTAAATGGTGCTACAATGAAAGTTAAAAAGGAGTTTAATAATTAATGGTTTAATATGTCATATAAGTTATTTCAAAATTTTCTTGAAAAATGTACAATGCTACATACAAGGTTAGCCCAAGGTGAATTAAAAATGTACATCACCGCTCAAAAGGTATTGTCACTTGCATTTTGTTTAAGTTACAAATTATAAAGTTTAAAGAAGTCATACATTTATTTATTTATACTTTATTGTACACACTGAAAGTACATAAAAATATGACAGCAGTAAGTAAATGTATAAAAGCAAGCTTAATTCTAAAAGAATTCTTTTCCAGCAAACCCAAATTGGAAAGTACTCCTAAAGTCATCAATGTCAGTTGGTAAAGTGGTGTACAATATTGTAATTTCAAACAAAAGAGAACTAGACTTAAGTATTTGATTTTGTTGTTTGTAGAAACAGTAAGATAAAATAATAAATAATTTATTGTTATTTGCTTTAGGTCATAAATTAAAATAGTGTTATTGTTGGAATTTCTTTATAGTTAACCTTTGAAGTCACAGTTTTGTTTTGATTTATTTATTGAGAAATAAACATAACTTACCTATAGAATAAATACTACAAATTTTATGACAATAGTTATCTGATGCCGTTTGACCAGAAAACACACTCTACATAGCTCAGTATTTAATATTTTTTGAAGAAAATGAGTAAAAATAAGGATTATTTCCAAGAGTATAATAATTGGCCTTCATGAATCCTGTAAAAGTAATTGTGTGATTTCAAGACTGCAGAAGATACCTAGGTAAACTGTTGCCTATGATGTTAAGAAACTTGTGACTAAAGAAATAATTTGCAACAAACATTGTTCAGGCAGACTGAGAGCCACAACTTCTAGTGAAGATTTGATTGTAGTTATCAAAAACAAACAAAGCAGAATTTAATTTAGATCATGATAAACCATTAAATGCATCACAGTGAAAAGACTCTGTGACACAGGACTTAGAGGATACATAGTGGTTTTGAAACCACATCTTAAAACTATTGACAATAAAAAATGAGAATTGGCCTGGAAAAAATAAGAATTGTACAACAGTAGAAAAGGTCCACTGGATAGACGAATAAACAAATTTATATTTTTGAGAAGAGAAAAGGATGAGCTTTCATTCCACAGCAGTGCATAATATTATAATTATTGAAAGACAGGTTTTTTTCCAGGCATTAAAATTGTTATATATATTATGAGGTAAAGCAGCCGACATCCAAAGCATATTTATATTACAAAAACATGCTGTTGGAGCAATTTGTTCTATGGGAAGTCATGAATCATTAAGAAAAAAATTTAAAGAAGCAAATATTCTCAACGTAATGTTACAGTACATATACGCAAACATTTTGTATATACGCATGAATTTTCAACAGTTTCTTAAAAATGAATAATCTCAAAAATCTTGACACTAAATACAAATTCAAACTTACTGTTCAGAAATATCGTTTAGAAAATTATAATATGAATAGATATGAGATTGAGCATTAAATATTATACTGAAGGATATTTTGAATCTAATTTTTATTAAGTTTATCACTGTTATTAAAAAAAGAAAAAAACTTATTGGAGAAGGCTAAATATTACACACTAAACAATTATTTGAATGGTAAATGTGCATGGTGTTAGTCGATCATGTACAGGGCTTTAAACGATCATGTAATTTTAGATATACTACATTTAAATAAATACACATAATGTAACAGAGATTTAAAACCGTAAATGTTCAGTAGATTAAAAAAATACGATTTTAAAGTGCTTGTAAACAAGTCTATGTAAATAAAAATGATTTGACGTTGACATGGCCCTCCCTTAAATACAGCTAACTTAAATATGTGCAGCAATTTAACACATTACCTTATCTTTCTTTATCTTACATTTTGTTTGCTGGTTGGATTTCTGCATAGTAAAAAACGTATTTGTTTTATGTAATATTTCTAAAAAATATATAATTAACAGTTATTTAGTATCTATAGTACAAATAAGCTCTGCTTAGTTTGGATTTAAATAATACTATGTTATATCTTTAACAATATTTATCTATTTTAATAATTTTATGAGTAATTTATTTTCAGATACACTATATAATATATATCCGTCATGCCTGTCTCCCATTTTGTTAGACAAAAATAATGGAATACATTAGAAGTATACAATAGTTGCAACTTCTGACTAATAATTTAATATTTGTTATTACCTTACCTAATATGTTTGTTTTAGCCTAAAAGCTGACATTGCCCTCATTGGCTTGGCTGTCATGGGTCAGAATATTATCCTTAATATGAATGACCATAATTTTGTGGTATGTGCATATAACAGAACTGTTGCTAAGGTAATTATTTTTTTACAAATTATTTTAATTAGCCTTATAATGGAATTGTTCTACATAAATTTTTCTTTATATATTAATATAAACTACAAAGATTTTAAAAATAGTATTTGTTTTTCTATCTTCACACTAACTCCCTTATGAATTTTATTTATAAAATCAAGTGCAAGACATTTGTTTCTCATTAATCAATGTATGTATTTTAAGGTTGAACAATTTCTTAATAATGAAGCAAAAGGAACCAAGATCATTGGTGCTAATTCTCTAGAAGATATGGTTAATAAGTTAAAGAAACCAAGAAAAATTATGTTATTAGTTAAAGGTGAGATAATTCTTTTAAAGGAACATGTCATAATATAATGTATTTAAATGGAATGAGTTCATAATTCATATTCGACTGTCTGGCCAGCTTCTGTAATGGGTCTGTCTAGGTAATAATTTATGTAACTTGGGTAATTTAAACTTAATCAGTGATACAATTATACTAGTTTTATAAAAAAATATTAAGAAACTATAGTTTATTTTTTTTATTGCCATGAGTATATTTTGTATTATTTACATAATAGAATAGAATTTTGATCAGAAATATGTTTTATTTTTATTTCATATTTCTGATCAAGCTCAAAATTTTAAAATTTTTGCATGTTCTTAAATAATTTGTTAGAGATGTGAACTAAATAGCAAATAGTGAAACTGCATAAACCTGGTATTAGACTTTATTAAGAATAAGAATAAGAATATCTTTATTTACTTTATATACTAATATTAGTACATTAAGTAGCAATAGTCATTTTAATGTATTAAATAGCCCTGTATGATTACACAAAAATCATTCTGGATAGAGAAAAATTAGAATAAATAAGAAAGAATTCTTTATTATTTTATTATAACATTAAATGTCTAATTAATTTTAATATTTATTTTTTTGTAATAATGTAAAATTATTTGTAATAATATATGTCTATTATTTCTATTTTCTATTGTTGTCTATAGCGGGATTTGCGGTTGATGAGTTTGTGAAAAATCTAATACCTCTTTTGGACAAAGGAGATATCATCATTGACGGTGGAAATTCACAGTATTTAGACACACAGCGATGGTGCAAAGAGTTAGCACCCACCGGTATCTACTACATTGGAATGGGAGTATGTTCAGTTTGATTAATAATAATAATTTTATATGCACTATTGCCTTAATTTATATTTAATAATTAATGTAATGGTCAGTAAACAATATTTACTATAAAAAAAAAAATTAAAAAAGCATCAAACAGTTCTAACATTAAAAAAGTTGTGAAATCTCGTGTAAAACCAAGTTATTAATTTAGTTAGGGTCTATGGAAAACCATATTAATATTATTTCCATAATAATGATATCTTTATTTCTATATTAATTATAATGACTTGGCAATAACACTATAAAAATGTTCTACTAATAAAATACTTTATTCTTTAGTACGCTACATTTACTTAGTAATCGAGATAGTAGATTTTGTATAAATTCTGGGAGTCGCTTCGAAAAAAGAATGGTACGGCTATGCTCGCTTGGCGAGGGCTAATTAACAAGTTTCTTTTTACTTTACTATTACAGTGTAAATAGTCTTCATATAGTAGTTTATCTCTCATAGACATCTGTTGTCATGCCACTTTCATAGCGAGTGTTGCAACATTTATTTTCAATTGACTTCAAAACGAAGAGATTATTAATTTGAATATTCCTGTTTTAACTAAACTTAGCTAATTTGTATTTTATTTCCTTTTATTGAAGTTGGTTAAAAATAAATGTGACAACCACTTGATAAAGCTTGGCCAAATTTGCATAAAATTACCCCAAATTTACTCCAAAATTAAAAATATCGCCATCCCCATTGTTTTTATTAAAATCCAGTAATGTCATAATTATTTAGATAAGCAATCCCAGATTAATCAAATACGATACCCAGAGTAAAATAGAAATACGCAATTCAGACGATGCAATATAAAAAAAAAAAATTCAACGACCAAAAATGTCTAAAATAGTTTCAACCAACGATTTTACAATTCAAACGTGCTTTAAACTTTGACAGGTACCGAACCAATGTATGGTACTTCGGTAATTTCCTGCCTCCATTTTCACACAAAAGTTCTATGTGCATTCCTTTGTGAAACTACTGTATGAAAAGTAGTACTTTTTACATTGATTTCATCCTTTAAAAATTTATGATGTTTGATATTACTTTTATTTTTGTTCATTTTAAATCTTATGATCTGATACTGCTTAGTAGTTTGTATTGACACAAATTCATTATTTATTTAATTAAACTTTAAAAAAAGCAACAGCTGAGTTTCTTGCCCATTCTTGGCTGAAATCAGGAAATGATTAAATTTACTTGAATAAAAATATTTCTTTGTTGTGTTACTCATAATTTAAAATGATATTGTAGATATGCTTTAAATTTCAAATTTTTCTTATATGGTTGTTTGGTGCTTGCTTTATTAATGAGAACATAATATATACTATATTTATTAAATAAAACATGATCAAATACAAATTGATTTTTGTCCTATGCCAATTTCGCTTATAAAGATTTATAATTAACCAGGTTAGTGGCGGAGAAGAAGGCGCGCGTTACGGTCCGTCATTGATGCCTGGGGGTCATCCTGCCGCGTGGCCACATGTCAAGCCAATATTCCAGGTATGTTGCTTAATTATATAAAATCACAGTTTATGCAACACACCCTGGAAACTTCATACAAAAACGCGACGATCCGTGATTATCACAACTATAGGAATAAGTAGCGACCGGACATGTGATAATGTGTGTGTATGTAATTGGGTTTCGCGCGCTAAAAAGCACATGCTTTCATATATTGTGGTATGAGCATTGAATGTGACCTAAAAAGCTGCGCAGCGTTCAGTGTAAAACAATTAGTCGAATCTTAGAAAAATAACAAAGGTGTGAAGTACACCAATTGTTAACACACTATTTATTATGATATCAATATATAATTAAATATATTGTATGCATACGAGGTCTGTCCGGAAAGTTCGTATAAAAGTGTTCTGGAATGCGAGAAAGAGGAGTGGGGAGGCCAGGTAAGCGCAGGACCCCTTCCTTATGTCCCTAACAATGCTTCAGTTCTGGTCTGACCGCCGTGCGGTGCGAACTGGCTTGTCACGCCATCTGTGAAGTTACCTCTTAACGAAACCCCGTCGGCATGGAGCCCGCTTCCGTTGAAGAGCAGCGCGTCGTAATCAAGTTTCTCTCGAAACTCGGCAAGAATGGCCGTGAAATTTTTGCCGATCTCAGAACAGTTTATGGGGATGATGCTGTGAAGGAACCAACCGTCCACAAGTAGCTAAAAAGATTCAGAGAGGGCCGAGAAAGCGTTCAAGATGACCCACGTTCAGGACGTCCTTCCACTTCACATTCCGACGAAAACGTGGAAAGAATTCGAACTTGTGTTAATGGGGACCGTCGTTTAACGGTCAGACAGGTGGCTGAAGAGCTTAATTTGGGCAAAACCGTGGTCCACGAAATTCTAAGAAACGAACTTCAAATGAAAAAAATTTGCGCCAAGATCGTTCCGTGAGTTTTTGAGTAAAAATTCCATTACGGTGACCGAACACCCCCCCTATTCGCCGGATTTGGCCCCGTGTGACTTCTTCTTGTTCCCAAAAACCAAATTGGTACTTCGGGGGCGGCATTTGGGGGACATAAATGAGATAAAAAAAGCTACGACGGGGCAGCTGAGAAACCTACAACCAGAGGACTTTCAAGGAGCCTTCTCACAGTGGAAACGGCGTTGGCACAAGTGCATTATGTCACAGGGGGAGTACTTTGAAGGGGATAAAATTGATTTACCTGAATAATTGTAAAATAAAATTTTTAAAAAACTTTTATACGTACTTTCCGGACAAACCTCGTATTTAGTCACAATATGCGTACAGATCTAAGTATAAACATTTTTATTAATCTATTGCAACAGTAAAATAAGTTGATATGATATAATAACCGGTCATCATGATCAAGATGATATAATAAATAACTACCGGTATTTCACTTACTCCTATTAGATCACTGTTACTGTTCACCAGTATGATTTTTTTTTTTATTAAGAAGGGCTTTAAATACCGGGTAATATTTTAATTCTTAGTAATAGCAACGTCTAAGTGGTGTCATGGATGTCAAGGTATATTCTGAGAAACACGTAGCACCTTTGTTGTCTTTATACCACGTGTTTATACGACATAATAATTATTTTTAATGAGGTGGGCTAAATAGTTTTTTATTTTGTTAATCATCTAAATGATCGCTTCCATAAAAATAATAAACCCTCCTAGATAAGGTAGTCTATAAATAGATTATCTAGGAGGGTACTGGGCTCACATATAAAAGAACAAGACATCTCATTTTATCTCATGGTCTTGTTAGCGATAACAATTCTCTGAATATATTCGTTTTTACTTTGACTAGGGGAAAGGTTAGTGTGATGCAGTTGAGTCGACATGAAATTATAAATTTTAAATAACTCTGGAATTTCTGTTGATATTAAAACTTAGCTGAGACTAGCTAGATATCCTCTCCATACCTCGTAAATATTTTATCTTCTATCCTTTTCTGACATCAGGGACTATTGAAGCGTAGACTAGAGACATCCAATAGATTTTGGGTATGTGAGAAGGTGAGGTCAATTCGCAATGAACGGCAGAGATTGTCCGTATTGTACTTACTTAGTACTATTACACTTACTGTAGTAGTTGTTTATAAATTCTAAATAACAATATCATGTATCATATATATTTATATAAAATTATTTTATAATGCACTGCTTAGTTTGAAATGTCATTACCAACGAGAAAAACTAGCACGAAAATCGATTATTATTTGGATAAAGTACTATAGAATATATTTTTTTAATTTCTAATCATATAATATTGCAATAATGATTTTACTCAGGCAATATGCGCAAAAGCTAATGGCGAGCCATGTTGCGACTGGGTCGGAGAAGACGGTGCTGGCCACTTCGTCAAAATGGTACACAACGGTATTGAATATGGAGACATGCAGCTCATCTGTGAAGCATATAATTTAATGAAAGATGTCATAGGTATTCTATTTTTATGTGTTATTAATTTTTGATAACTTTTAACACCATACCAATGGATTCCAACAAAAGGAATGTCGAGGAGATAGACAATACCATAAGGTTGTGGTTATGGTCCATGTCATGGCAAACATCTAGGGTCATCTCAGCTTGTGAACGCTTTAGGCGTTACTCGCACTTTGTTGAATGTTGTGACATGAAGATCTTTTGTCACAATATTAGCGAGTCCCCGCAGCGAATCTTAAATTGTGTTATTTACACTGATTATATAGAAATTGAAATAGACAAACTTAAAAAAATACAGTCAAATTGAGAATCTCCTCCTTATCAAACTTGCTTAAACATATAGATGGTTTTTTACTTGTAGTTAATTTACATGAATACATTGACAGACTCCTTAATAACAAAGATTAAAATATGACTTTCTTTTTGTACCTACTCGTTTATGATAATTTTACTGATATAGTAGTCATATCTTGCATTACATTAATTAGGTCTTGAGTTCGATTCTCAAGCGGACACAAAATTATGAAAATAATATAGCTAGGAATATGATTATGGCTACTTTTTCATAATAGGTAGGTTTCTATACAATATCTAAGCTTGTGATTTAGTTAATTGGCGCTTTATAATTAAATTTTATAAAGTAATTGATATATTATTGTGTTATTTTACAATTATTTATACATTTTTGGTACAGGTATTGACCAGGACGAAATGTCTCAGGTGTTTGAAGAGTGGAATAAAGGCGATTTGGACTCGTTTCTTATCGAAATTACCAGAGATATCCTAAAATTTAAAGACACCGATGGTAAGCTATAGCTGTCTACTCTTTCTAAGATTTGCTTTTATAGTCTATTTTCATTTCCACTTAATTAAGGAAATGACAAATGAAGTTGATATTTGTTTTTACGTGTTTTATCGATTGGAAACATGTTATTCTAGCGTATATTTTATACCGTAACGTGATGTGTATAAATACGATAGATAGGATAGGGTAAAGGGATATTATGAGAAATAAATGGATAAAAGGTCCATATTTGTTTAAATCATTCCAATAATTTCATATTATAATATTTAAATCCATATGTTATATTTGTAGGGATCCAGATAACTAGAATTGAGACAAACTGTCGTATATATGTATATATATATATATATATATATATATATATATATATATATATATATATATATATATATATATATATATATATATATATATATATATATATATTGTATAATTAGTTTCCTTTTAAGTTACCTGAAAATAATTGAACCAGTCGCATTTTTGCATTTATTATGGAATTCTCATTAATAATTTTAATTAAAATCCAATTAGTGTGTTTTTATAATGTTGTTTTATATTATTATAACGAACTAATAAATGAGTTCGTTATTAAACGCATACACACGCAATATTAACAGTATAATTAGATTAATATTTAAATACCATACAAATGCATCATTCATTAATATTTTATCCCAATTAAACAAATATTAGTATTTAAACATCATAAGGCAAAAAATAAAAACCTGCTAGCCTAAAAGTAAGCATAGTTCTTTTATGAATTAAAATGACTTTGTAAAAAGAAAGTCCACCGCTGATCGAAGGGATTTGCTAAAAAAGAAGAGTGTTTCCTATATTTCTAAAAATTAAATATATCATCACTTCTGTAATATAGAATAATACTATAAAGCACAAATGTATAAAGAAAGATATTTTATCTTTTTGATAAAATTAGTTCAACTTGTGCTCAATAAGGAAATAATACAAGCGTTTTATAAATGAAATTTTTGGATATTGTGAGTTTTGAAATAACTGTTATTTTCAGTTATACACTTGTTAGGTACAAAGCATTTAGCATGCCAAAAAATAAAGTTGTTTTAGGTATTGATTTATATAATTTTGCAATAACGTCATTATAAAGTTTAATGTTTTTGTAGCACGATAGTGATTAATTGTTTTTTATTTAATTAAAAAATGACAGACTTATGATACTTATTGGGAAAATTCGTATGGAGGTGTCTCGTTCGCACTTCAAAGACCATAAAATACTCTATCTTAAACTATCATATCTTAATCAATTTTTTACCTAGAATATTGAAAGAAATATCAAAATATGCAAAATTACTTCAACTATAATCTCTTCTTGAAATATTTTTAATTCGTTCAGTAGCTTTTGAATAATTTGCGTAAACTGATTTTTATTTTTCATGTTTAAACTCCTAAAATTCTCTTTATCCTCACATACCGAGGTGGACTTTATAAAGTATATATGCCAAGTAAGTAGCATAGTATGCCAAGTCTGCAGCAATTTCTTCTGTTTTCACTTAATTTTTCCAATGATAGTGGAGATAATATTAGTTTCACATAGACGCCTGTGATCTCCGAGATTTTTGTCTAATATTAGGGTAATATTTAAAGTATTGCGCAGAGTTCCTTAGTTGTTATTTATTTGTGACATTCTCGGGTTGAATAGCAGTTGTGATATTATATTCTTACTATTGCTTTGTTGCTACTCAGAAGAAGCTTTTCTACATGTTATATTTTTTAAATAGTAACACCTGGTTCACATGTAAATATTATTTAAATGTTGTTTGTATTTATAACGCAGGCAAATACCTATTGCCAAAGATCCGTGACACGGCCGGTCAGAAGGGCACTGGAAAGTGGACAGGCATTGCCGCGCTCGAGTACGGCGTGCCAGTCACGCTTATTGGCGAGGCCGTTTTTGCCCGCTGCCTTTCGGCTCTCAAAGGTAAAGGCAAATTATAATTTTTTAGCTGTATGCTAAGAATTTAAACAATTCTTTGGATTTTATTTAATAAAATGAGTATGACACCAACACAGTAAATCTAGTACGTTTCCAGATCATATGCAACATGGGGTCTTTCAAAGCTAGAGTGAGTGGGTGACATCAGATGAGATTTTGGTCCATGAACACGCTCTAATTTAATATATGAAAAATACTTTCATTTAAAAATAATCAGAACTCTCATTAAGTAGATTTAATTCACAATTGACCGGTTTTTTTAATGACAGTTAAAATCACATTATATGGTTATTAATACCAAAATATATAATGGGTATTATATCATTACGTAACTGGTGACAATGAGTTTTACGTATAAAGCGAGCAAATGCATCATGCTACAAATGTGAACAAAATTACAAAAAGAACTAACATTAATAACTTAAGAATGATTTAATGTATAATATTAGTCCATTTAAGTAAAGACAATCTAAATAATAACTATGATAGGTACAATTTTTTTTTTATTATTATTACAGATTATGTGGTCATGATATAAATATAAATACAGCTATTACTCATATATTGCACAATAAATTTATAATGATCTAATCATATTATCTTATTTCTATTCCCACAATTATAAAGTTTTGAATGTATCTGTAATTTTAATAATATATAACCTATTACATCAATTTGTCCCGATAGACGAGCGTGTAAATGCAAGCAAAGTGTTGCCGGGTTCGTCGCTAAAGTTCACAGGCAATAAAACAGAGTTCCTGGATCACCTTCGCAAAGCTCTCTATGCAAGCAAGCTGATATCCTACGCTCAAGGTTTTATGTTACTGCGTGAAGCTGCAAAGGTATGAAAATCTTGTTTAATAATTTAATCTCATAACTATATATATATGAAATTAAACTGAATGTAAAACTAAAAATATACACATAATATGAAATATGTTAGAACAGAAATTTTGTGAATCCATATTTAAAATTTTCTAAAAATGGTGAAGTAAACGATGATTTGTTGCTAATGTTGTATTTAATAAAAAAAAACGGAGTGTAAACTAAACTATCGCTTCTTTAAGTACTTCGTAGTGACGTTACATTTATGATATTGTAAATATTTTGTTTCTATTTTATTTTTATAATAATTATCACGCAGGCGAATAAGTGGAACCTCAATTACGGCAGCATTGCATTGATGTGGCGAGGCGGTTGTATCATTCGCAGCGTATTCCTTGGCAACATCAAGGTGAGTGGCAATCACATGTTGACCGCTGGCTATGACGGCTCCCTGACCTTAACCATAGATAAAATAATGTTTTAGCAGTGGTACAATTGTGATAACACAGTGCCCACTTGAATAAAGATGAAATGCGCGTGTTATCACCGATCATGAATGAGGTTTTATTTAATCACGAATTCTATAAATGGTATTCAATGTAAACACGAGGAGTTTGCGTGTATTACTCAGAAGCTTAATCCCGATTTCGTTTCTTTGTCCCTACACAAAATTTATGTAAAAATAAGTTTAGATTATTATTAGAAACAGAATTATTCTTCGGTATTTTACAAAACATTTTTGTATTTTATTTAACGCGTTACTTTGAATGGCGAACAAGCTGACGGCCGATCTAATGGAGAATTGTATCCGTCACCTACAGACATGAATAGCGCTATGAGTTATGAGTTATATATATATATATATATATATATATATATATATATTACATAATAATCCTAATATCAAGGTAACTAGGTAGTTTGATAGTGACAGTTTTTATTTAAAGTATTTGTATCATCCATTTGTCTGCCTATATATGTAAATAGAAATAAATAAAGGATAGACCATAATCTATTTTTATAGATGATACATTACATTATATATAATTTATTGATATTTCACAAATATGACTATTATTAGTTTAGTAGGTACATTGACGTGTGTTTAGATCGAATAGTGAAAGTTTATCATTGCATATGACCTTGTTAGCTTGTGTTTATTTGATGTAGTTTTAGATAGGTTTACGTCGTCTTATTAAATAAATCTAAACTTGTTTATTCTATGAATTATAGAGAGGACTATTGATATATTATTAATAAGTATAAAGCACCTTATAATGGATTCTTATTTTTATGGTACTCCTTTTTAATACATACAGACATATTAGTCACTGCTATTTAATCATTAACATAACAAAGGAAATAGTATAATACTGTAATTAGTATATTTTTCCAAAGGACAATAATGTATATTTTTAGAAATGTATGAATATAATGGAAATGGTATTTGTTTATACAAAGTGTTTATCTATTATTAGGACGCGTTCACAAAGAATCCTCAGCTGACAAACTTATTATTGGACCCTTACTTCTGTGAGCGTATCAGCGCATCACAGAACTCGCTGCGGCAGGTGGTGGCACAAGCGGCGCTAGTCGGCGTGCCCACGCCTGCTTTCTCCTCGGCCCTCGCATTTTACGATGGCTACCGTTCAGATGCGCTGCCCGCGAATCTCTTACAGGTATTCGTCTTTATAAGCGAGTAGCGATCCGTAGGAGGAAAGGGATTGTTTGTGTGATCAAAAAGTCCCATTACTAGCAATGTACTAGATCATGTCACGATCATACACACGGTTTCTCTTAAAAACCATCGTGGTCAATTATTGTTGAATTCATCAGGATGAGCTAACTGACTTGCTTTCAGTCTCACCTATCATCACTCACTGGTGCACCGCCAGCATATAACAATAGTGCAGGCGATGTTACCATTCCAATATCATCATTAAAAAAGACTAGCGTTCCGCCCCGGCTTCGCGTGTGTAGATAGAAAAATAGCTTGGCTTTAATAGACAGATTTTTTATATTCTGGATAACAATATTCTATACTTTGATTATATATTGATTTTCGTAGAAATCTAAATTTTTTTAAATGATAAATATGCCTATGTTATTCGCTAATAATTAACTTTCTATAAATAAAAGATTTTTAATATTGGTTGAGTATTTTTTAGATAATACTATTAGATAATACACCTATCCCCCGATTTACACGGTACTTGTTTTACACGTTTTCGCTTTTACACGGTTTTCCAAATAAGTTTTTTTTTTATCGCACTCTACTAAATGCTACTGTGTTTGAACACGTGCGCTGTGTACACATCTCACAGGGAATCCCGAGCTTATGTGCTGACTTGCTGCACATGCACACTGTGTCTGTATTTCTTCGCATAAAATTAAAGTTTTATCTACGGAAAATTGTATTTGAGTGAAAGTTTCACAGTGTCAGAAAGATTAAATTTTTCATATTCGTAAATTACAAGTGAGTGCATAATTATGATTTTTATAAATTAACATAAATTAAAAAAAATATAGGCTTATAATGTCGATAGAAGTTAAAATAAAAGTTATTTCTTTAGAAACTAAAATCGAAATTTTGGATCGCTTACGAAAGGGAGATAGAGTAGTAGATGTGGCAAAATCATATAACATGAACGAAGCTACAATAAGAACTATTAGAACAAATGAAAATTTTTATTTTTATTTCTGTGTACACGTAAAAATATTGAAAAAAATCACAACTGTTAAATAGCAAAATTATGCATTTTCTGCAAGCTTTTCGATTTACACGGTTTTGACTTGAAAATTTTTAATTTTCGATTTACACGTTTTTCTCAGGAACGTATCTACCGTGTAAATCGGGGGATAGGTGTACTCATTGTACTTTTACATATTCGAATCAATATTAGGATTACAAACACTTAAAAATAAAAATTGTGTAATAATAAACCGACTTCTATTACAATCGACAAACTGGCATAGAATGGGCCAATCCTTCCTTTTTTATAGGTGTCGTAAGAGGCCACCAAAGGAATTTAATAGTTGAGCAATGGGCAATAGTCCCTTTTAAAATCACTAAAGCCTAACTGTGGTTCCCAACCCGCCTGCCAAGCGTGGCAACTATTAGCACAATCCCCCAAAGGGGATGCCTGTGTCCAACAGTGGGCAGACGGTTCTGATGATGACACTTTAAAACTTTTTTTTTATTATTATTACAGGCACAAAGAGATTATTTTGGCGCTCACACTTACGAGTTAGTGACTAAACCCGGCGAGTTCGTGCACACCAATTGGACTGGCCACGGGGGCAATGTGTCCGCCTCCACCTACAATAACTAGCTAGTAAGCTAGTGCACACTATACGAAAGTCATTGAAATATTGTTCACTATTTACTATATAAAAATATAAGAAATAAACTCATCTAGCGCGGACATTGTTTAATGCGTTCTATAAATAATTTTATTCAGGCCAACGAAAAATAATCACTTAAACTGCACACTTAAGCTGTTTAAATAATGTCTTCCAACTTGGTATTATTATTAACTATAAGAGTAAACCATATTTGGACAAAAAGCAGCCTGTTGCGATTTTAAAAACAAAGTGACCTATATATATAGTTCTTAAGTATCTTAAGTTTTTTAATAATATTTTTTTGACTGTTTAAGACAATCATTCTTTCAAGTATTTAATCCTATAATTAATTTTATTTAATTACTATTAGTATTTTACATATTGTTAATAACTCTAAATTTTTATTAACAAGTCTACAGCTATGATTGTGATTTGTGAATGTAATCAATTATTTGCTTTCTCAATGATTATGGAAGATCACAATTTATTCCAATTTACATTCCTGTTGTAATGACGATTGGTGTGTCAAATATAAATCACCCGTTTTAGTGACAAATGTTAATGTATGGATCAACTTTATTATGTATAAAATTATGGCGCAGCCACTGCTTGTCGCATGTTGTGAAAATGATGGTGCTCTGCGGTATATTAATAAATATAAGCAATAAATATATTTTATATATAAATTCCTTTTATTAAAGTTTATATAGCCCTATTATTTAAATCAAGTATATTTTTAATTAGTAAATGGATACAAAACCTACTAGCAGAAATAAACAGTATTTTAATATCATCATTACCGGTTTAACCTACGTGTAATTACATCAAGAAAACTCGACAAATGATTAACGAGTTCTAAAATGGTCCCGAAACTAGTCCAGCTTTCTTAATCTAATTATATGTAAATTAAACCGGAACTAAATTAAAGATAAAAATTAGAACCTCATATTTCGTTTTTGAGATGTTTCTTTGGATATAATATTTAGTTATATAGTTGGAAAAATTCTAACAGTTTCACCCAGTATATACTACATATATATATTACTTATACGTTTCAATCTTGCATTATATAGATAAAGCCTCCAGCTTTAAAAACGGGGCAACTTTTTGTTAGTTAATTGTCAAATTGATAAGTTACGACCTTCACTTTTTACCTTATTCTAATGCAGCCTTTCCCAAAGTGGGCGATAATGCCCCCTTGTTGGCGCTGTAGGTCTAAAGGGTAAGAAGGTGTAGGTCTAAAGGTTAAAAGGTAAGAGACCCAGAAAAAATTGATTAATTTACACAATAATTGATTAATTTAATTTGAAGAGTGGTTTTTGAGTAGGTGAAAAAATGGGGGCGCTAATAATTTATACTCAGTAGACAAAATAAGTTTGGGAACCCCTGTATCTAAAGTAATATTTTTTTATCTGGTAACACTATCGCGTAAACAATTGTATGAAAAAATTCATTCGATTTTTCTGAGCATTTGTATTGAGCTTAAAATTTTATTATATATTAATAATTAGTAATTTAGTTTTCTAGAAATCTTCCAAAAAGTGTTCAATTTTATACACCCCGAGTTTGGGGTGAAAAGAAAGAAAAAGGAAGTTATTAAAAAATTTAGTAGGCTTAAATTATATAGATAGAACCTCGAATCTTAAAACCGATTAACTTTTTGTTATTAGATTCTTTTTTTTTATTAGTGTTTTATATACTTACACACACAACGTACCTATAATTATAAAACGAAAAATAGAAATAATAATGAAATCACTTATAACCGGTAAATATCTTCAATTTTAAGCATAAATACAATTATAATTACATACATTCTTTTAAAGAATTCGCGCCATTTTTAGTGTTGTAACTATGCGAAATAATTTCCCACGAGTGAATTAAAATTCCATAAATAAGGTATTTTTTAATAAGATTTAATTATGTTTTATTATTATTTCAATTTTGTACTAATTTTTTATTATGTAGATATTTACACAGAGATATTATTGAGTAGGTATTATACAGACTTTGTTATTTGACCGATTGCAGTCAAAATCGATATCGAATGATCCCTATACACTTCAAATATAAATCTGGTGTTCGAATTAATAAAAATGGCCATCATTTTTATTTTATGTGTTTTTTTTTTTCATTTATTTGGGAAAACTAACAGTGACAAAATGTATGTTATTTGACAAATTGCTTTCAAATCTATATTTGAGGATCCATATACTCGTATATTTCAAACATGGATCCTGTATCAGAAGAAATTAAAATGGCTGCCATTTTTATTTAAAGTGATAAAAGTACTTATTTAAATAAGACTTAACAAAATAACATTAGAAAAATACACTACGAGGTTTGTCCGGAAAGTACGTATAAAAGTTTTTTAAAAATTTTATTTTACAATTATTCAGGTAAATCAATTTTATCCCCTTCAAAGTACTCCCCCTGTGACATAATGCACTTGTGCCAACGCCGTTTCCACTGTGAGAAGGCTCCTTGAAAGTCCTCTGGTTGTAGGTTTCTCAGCTGCCCCGTCGTAGCTTTTTTTATCTCATTTATGTCCCCCAAATGCCGCCCCCGAAGTACCAATTTGGTTTTTGGGAACAAGAAGAAGTCACACGGGGCCAAATCCAGCGAATGGGGGGGTGTTCGGTCACCGTAATGGAATTTTTACTCAAAAACTCACGGACAACAAGAGAGGTGTGGGCAGGGGCATTGTCGTGGTGAAGAATCCAACGCCCCTCTCGCGCCAATTCTGGACGAACTCGTGCCACACGAGCTTTGAGGCGTCTGAGCACATCGACGTAGAATTTTCCATCAACTGTCTGGCCTGGAGGGACGAATTCTTGATGGACAATCCCCCGAACATCGAACTCTTTCTCGGCCCTCTCTGAATCTTTTTAGCCACTTGTGGACGGTTGGTTCCTTCACAGCATCATCCCCATAAACTGTTCTGAGATCGGCAAAAATTTCACGGCCATTCTTGCCGAGTTTCGAGAGAAACTTGATTACGACGCGCTGCTCTTCAACGGAAGCGGGCTCCATGCCGACGGGGTTTCGTTAAGAGGTAACTTCACAGATGGCGTGACAAGCCAGTTCGCACCGCACGGCGGTCAGACCAGAACTGAAGCATTGTTAGGGACATAAGGAAGGGGTCCTGCGCTTACCTGGCCTCCCCACTCCTCTTTCTCGCATTCCAGAACACTTTTATACGAACTTTCCGGACAGACCTCGTATACGTATGTGTGTATTACATTAAAAAAGTATTTTAGATAGAATGTCTCCTTAGAAACTCTTCGAAAAAAACGGGTCATAAAATTTTTCTTTGACAATTATTATGAGTGATTCCTTTATGTCTTCTATATTTATTTTATCTTATAATTTCTTTATAATGAGTAAACACTCATTTTATTTATTAAATAATACGCCAAGATACATTTCATACGTAAGTATATAGAACAATTACCAGAGGGAGACTGTTAGAAATAGATTTATGAAAATATAGCATATAGGTTTATGAAAATACAGCTATAAATTACTGGCCGATTGTAATTTAAAAAAGATATGGTTTTATAAATTAAGTTGACACACTTTTAGAAACAATCGTTGCTTTCTGTATTTGCTCTTCTTTTAAATTTTATCGTACTTTTATATTATGTTAATTCTATTCCCTTCCACTACGGAAATATTAGCTGATATCTCAAGCTAAATATCAACAGAGAGTTTGTACAAAAGTCGTTTGCTTGGCCACCTGTCCCAATCGTGTTTCTACCGTGGTACTGTTCATGTCTATAGACGATGGTTATCACTTTCAATCAGGTGAGCCGTCAGCTTATTTACCATTCTAACTTGAAAAAAAAAAACAAATATAAAAAACGAGTTAGCAATTTGACAATTACCTGACAAGAAGTTGATCCATTTTTGAGGCTCGATGCTCTGTTTATATAATCTAAGATTATTTATAACATCAGTATACGTTTTAAAGCTAACATCAATACACATTTAAAATCAAAGATTCTGAGATATTCTTATGAAAAAAAAATCGGTGAATTAAAAAGTATTTGAAATGTTCGTTATTTTTAGTGACATTATTCGTCCATATTTATAGTATACATGGATCCACAAATATTGATTTTCAATCTTCCTTTCAAACTTTTATTATTTTTTAAAGCAATTTGAAAGGATTATGAAAATAGATCTAACGCATTCTTATTCTTTATCTACGCATGATTTTTAATAAACAAATAAATAGTATAATTAAATACTTAAAGATAGTTAAATATTATAAAGGATTATTAAACCTAATAATATATAATAATATATTATTATGCATACATACCTTCACATTACCATTTTGCCTTAATTCAAAGTAATAATTTCTAATCTGGTAACACTGTCGCGTATACAATTGTATGAAAAAGTTGACGCGGAAAGCGCGGGAAACGTTTAAAAAAGCGGGAGTGTTTTTTGATCTTCTTTAAATTAATTTTATTTTTAATTATATAAGGATTAGTCTTATTTATATATTGTGTATTAGATTGTATATATAATTGTATATTTTGTAGTAATAGTGTTTGTTGCTGTAAATATTGGTAAGTAAATTACCTATATTAATTAGACATTATGGATCCACCTATAGACCCTGGGGGGACAACCCCCTAGGTGTCTGCAAATATAACTATCCCATTTAATAATAGTTTTGATATATTGGGTGAATCTAGTATGGACACAGATGGTTCTAGCGTTGCAAGTTCTAAACGTAAGCGAGTACGTGGCGAACGTCGCATTTGCAAACATTGCAATAAAAAACGAAGGAGGCACACCAAAGGTCTCGAATCTAAAATTAAAGATAGTGATTGTCAATGTATTGAGGATGAGAATCAAACTCAAGTATCAATTCCAGTTGTAAATAATACCGAGTCTGTTAAACCTGCTTCTCCACCCAGTACTTTAAGCAGAACTTTGTACAATGCCGAGGATGTAGCTCCTTATGTCGTTCATGTACAAAAAAATGAAACACATCCTAATGATAACACTACATACATCCTATTGCATTTGGTCGCTTTTTACACACTAATAAGATAAATAATATAGTGAATGGTAGCCTCAAAAGAATAGGAAGAAACCGTTTATCGCTTTCTTTCTCAAATTTTGAAAATGCAAATGCATTTTTAAATAATAGTCACTTAGAAACACATAATTTTAAGGCATTTATACCTTCTTTCCATGTAACCCGTATGGGAATTGTGAGGGGTATTCCTAAAGATTGGACAGAAGAGGAAGTAATCCAAAATATATCAGTACCTATAGGTTGTGTGAGAATTCTAAAAACCAGAAGAATTAAGAAAAAGACCATTAATGAAGGACAACCAAGTTTTATTAATACTGAAACCATTGTTATTACTTTTGATGGACAAATATTACCAAAAAGAGTATTTATGTTTTACACATCATTAACTGTAGATTTGTACATTTACCTCACTATCCAATGCTATAACTGCTGTAGGTTCGGACATGTCAAGATGCAGTGTCGTTCAAATCCTCGGTGTTATAAATGCAGGCTAAATCATACAGGTGATAAATGTGAAGTAGATGAGGAAAATGTTTCTTGTATCTTGTGTAATGGTTCTCATTCAGCAATTAGTAAGAAATGTCCTGAATATGCACGTCAGAAAGCCATTAAAGAAACAATGGCCCA